TGTGTGTGTGTGTGTGTGTGTGTGTGTGTGTGTGTGTGTGTCTATAATTTTCCAGTTGCAATGATGCATTCAGAAGAGCGTAATTAATGCTGAAAACATTATTAGAAGGGATTTCAAACCTCATGCTTCAGGGCTTGAGCCAGTCTCTACATGTTAGAGACCAGCACCAGACCTACTGCAGGGAGAAGCTGATTACCTCCATCTGTCTACTGCAGTGTTTTAATACCTTCCCCTGAGACAGCTAGTATTTTGCTACTGTCAGAGATGGGACTAGCTCCACCTCAGGCCTGATCCAGTTGGATAACTCCTACATTAGTAAGAGCAACACAGTAGCCAGAAAGGAACAGAAACTACAGCATCTGAAAAAGCTGGGAATGCAGGGGAAAAATTAATCCAACTCAGTTTTAGGAGCACATTTCCTCGTAAAGCAAAACTGCCACAACAGAAATCTAAATGCTGAGTTAGGTGTGACTTAAATTATGTCTTTCAAAACCTTCAGTCTCCAACTCTTGGGCACCATGCCAGTATGCTTATTAGTGCACATGGCATACTGTGCACAGGTGTTTAAGTAAGGGAGAGAATACTTCCACGCTTGTGTTTCCTGCATGCACGGGACAGAGGCACATTAGCTGTGTAAGCTCTCACTGAACTAGGATTAGTCGCTCAGTTTCTGGAATGGAGAGGGGAAGCCACTCTGAGGACAATCAGAAGTTATACATAATTAATACATCCCTGACCTGAATGGGGAGTTACTAAATGTGAAAAATCAGAGAAAAGATTGTTTAGGGAAGGGAAATTACAGACTTCTCCCCTGTGAATAAATCACAGCATGGTGACACGCACATGCACACATGCACACGTGCACACATGCACACACCCACCCAGGGGCCAGCCTTTCTTGTCTGCCTGCGCTTTAAAGGCTGAGTGATTTGGTGCAGGGAGGGACTTGCTCTCACTTCCTCATTGCATTTGACGTGCTGCAGCAGGTTGCTTTGCTGGTGGACTTTCCCCGCTGCTAACAGAGGAGTGGGAGACGGGACAGAAAGGCCCGTCTTCCTTCTCCTCTTGAAGTGGCACCCAGTGTGGGGAGCAGTGGGTGGTGCGGATGGGCAGAGTGGAGCTTGGAGAAGGAGGGAAGATGAGTCGATGCCAAGAAGACTACCCTGAGGCGCCAGAGGAAGTAGAAGAGGAGCTCCAGAACCTAGAGTAAGGGGAAAAAACTGCTTTGCGCTTTCCATGGATGCAGCTTTGAGTGAACTGAGTATTTGAGACCCTATCCCACGAAAGGTGTTTCTGGCACATTTGGTAATGGACTGGAGGTCGCTCTTGAGAGTTTTGTTTTGCTTGACATTGCCTTTGTCTCATTTTCTTCTCAGTTTGAGGCCAGAGAAATTGGGGAGGGCACTATATTGCATGGAGACTGAACAGTAGAGTGAATGCCACTGCTTCCCCTATATAGGCTGAAGTAAAAGCTGATCTGCTGCTAGCCTGGCAGGAGAAGGGGATTTGTTTGCCACAGGAAAGGATGGAGACCTCCAAGGCAAGAAAGTAGTTGTGCAGCTGGTAGGGTTTTTTTTTTCTTCCTTGGGGAAGTTGTTTCCATTAGTGCTGAGCCTTTGTTTGCTACTCTCAGTCCAGTTGTGTGAATCCGTGAGTTGGTGTATGTACAGATGGACGTGTTTTACTGCCGATGTGTGTTTCAGAGTGAAAGAGGGTGATACGTTAGGTTCTCCCAAAGTGTAAAAGGCAACAGAAGTCCAGAGGTTTGCACTAAATTTTATTTATAAAATTATCAAGTGCCACTTCAGCAGCCATTTGGATTTCAGTTTTCTTCTGCTGAGTATTGTCAGGGACAGTGGTTTTTTGAGAACATTTTAACAGAGATGTGACTTTTATATTTAAAACAGAATTAAAAATAAGCTACTTCTCTGAGGTGAAGGGGAAAAGAAGTCAGTACGAGGGTTTTTTGGAAGACTATTTGCCTGACTAGTTGTGTTGTATTGTATGTATGCAGATACCGTTTGGTGTCTTCTCTCATATAACCCTTATGAATTGGGAGACAAGGACTACCTGAAATGTATATCCTTTGGTTGAGCAGTAAAAAGAAATAGTGTAGCACTAACATGTAGCTGGTAAATTATGGGACCAACATTACTTCTGCGAGCCTCCCAGTAACTTCGAAGTGTGTGTGTGGGATGCTTTGTTAACATCCAAATACGTGATTTGGCCTTCTCGCTCTCTCTCTCTCCTGCACACACACATGCACGCACACACACATTTTGTATGAAGCTTGAACTGTGCTAGACTTTAGCCTTTATGGTATTACAAATCCTCCGGGGCATGGTCTAGCTTGATAAGCATCTTGTACTGTTGCCAAGCCACTGGTGAAGTTTCAGAAAACAACAAAAATAATAGCCACCTGCCTCCCCCATTGACATCAGCTACCGCTTCTGGCAATTTCATCAGTAGCATTATTTTTAATTTTTTCTTCCCAGTAAAATTAGCTTCACAATACTAGACATTAGGATAGTATGCTTTTCTTGGCTTTTTTTATGGGTGATATCGGATCACACCCAGTTATGTAATGTTTTATTGTGATGACATACTACACCCAACATTGTGTATTATTCTAATATTGCAAAGCTACAATCCCTGATATTGCACCTCCCTAAAACATGTTGTTGCCACAATACATTTTCTCTTTCAGGTCTCATCCTACAATGTATTAGAGAGCTGCAGCCAAGGGAACATAGTTAAATAACATTATGAACTTGTATCAAGCGTACCTGTTTTAGGCATGAACTACTATATTACACAGACACATATTCCATATAAATGCATGCACTTGCAGTGCTAAAGAGTTGCCTATTTAGATTCTTCTGCCTCAGCCCTCACCAGCATCTGAGTGCATCTGTCCCACTGCAAGACTGACAAAGTTATGGATGAGAATACACATTTTCCAAGGTCAAGACACTTAAATAAGGGGGGGGGGGGTTGCTGCCATAAAATTACAAGCATCACACTTATTCTCAGTACAGTCTCCTCACAGTTTAAACATTTTCCTTCAGGACAATCCCAAAGACAAGGTGTGTTGTTTTTACTGGCATGGCTGCAACCCCAGAGAGGTTCCCTAAGGTGAAAACAGAAGCAGCAGTAGAGAAAAAACGATGGAAATGCTTCCCAGTATTAGTAGCCAAACCAGGACAGCACTTTTCCCACCTGCCTTGGGTTGGGTTTTATCTGACAAAAAAGGCAAATTGAAATGCTAAAATCAGTCCTAGATTTTTCCTTTGGTTTTGCTGCTCCCAGAAGTCCTGCCCACAAACTGTTCATCCCATATCCTAGGTGCTTTCTCTCTCTCTCTCTCTCCCAAACACACACCCCGAAACTCTTCCTGTCTCCTTACTACCTGCTTGAATTAATGAATCATTTGAAACAGAGGTAGTTAGCTGTGGTATTTTGAAGCCAGTGAGAAAGTAGAGCAAAATGACACCTTGGCGACTGACTGATTCAGAGACATGCACTTCTGTAGGCAAGAATGTACTGCGATTAAACATGCAGGGAAAAAAATAATTTGTCTGCAGAAAGCAAAGGGACAAAGGGTGGGACTGAAATACTGAGTTTCAGTCTGAAAGAGTTCAGTAAAATACAGTAAACATTTTCTGACAGGATCATTGTCTGCGAACCCGGTCAGGATGTCAAACACACCTCATTTGTTACACAGAGCTTTTGAACACTGGAGTCCTTTTAATGCATCTCAATTGGGTATTCAAGACTGAGGCACTCAAAACCATTAGTCATTTTTAAAAAGCTTTGGAGGGTTTGTTTTTTTTTTTAATTAAAGCAGCAATTCTACAGATACTAAGTAGAGCCATCACTAAGGCCAGTTCCTTGTGCTTGTTGCTGTCAAATGGCTGACAGCATTTTGCAAGACCTTCCTGTAATGCTGTCATTATGGCCTCGAAAGCAAAAATGCTTATGCTTGCATCTATTTGCTATCAGAAAGATTGGTCTGGTCAAGATGTGCATACAGAAGTGGCAGCACAAATGGGAACTGGCCGAATAAAAAAAGAGGCATGACATCTGTAGTGAAGGGGTCAGACAAAGTCAAAGGGGGAGAACAAGGAGGCAGAGACCAATGAAGTCCCCCAAACAGAAAGGCTATGCCGTCCTCTTTATATTGAAAGGAAATGGGCAAGGATTAGAAGAGCTACAACCAGTATGAAAAAGATGGAAGTGCATTGCTTAAAGTATAGGTGCAGATTGGCTCTGTCATTCATTTGTGCCCAGTTTAACTGATGATGGGAGCGAGTCTTTAGAATACAGACCACATAGGCCTTATGTGGTCCGCTGCTCCTTAGAGGGAACCAAACCCTCCTTCCTGCTGACACAGTAGTCATTCCACCTGTGGTGAGTGCAATGGGACTTTGGCTGCTGCCTGGCAGCGAGGTGAAGGCATGTGTAGACACTGCCAGCTGCTACAGTCCATTCAGCAGCCTGTGTCTTCCTAGGGTATGCTTCATGCTCCGGAGGCATAGCTGCTGAGTGGCACTGCTGGAAGCATCTGGCTGCATGCGCTCGCCTGGTGGCTGCCGGAAGCTGTGGTGGCAGAGAGCAGGGCAGCGGGGTGGATACATCCTCAGAGGAGTTAAAGCATCCTCCCAGCTGATGCTGTGTTCCCACATCTAAAAGTGCTTGGCTCAGGCAGCCTGCACATGGCAAAAGTGAAATGAAAGCACTGAGTAACGGTTCCTACCGCACCTCTATTGTATTTCTCTTTTTCAATCTATAATATTGCTGTCATGACATACAATTTGTGCCTTAGCTATTTACAAAGAGTCTGAGTTGCAGCTCTTGTGGGAACCATTATTTCTAACTACCTGTTTTATTTTGATTTTTTGCTTAGGCCCTGATCCCAAGTTAGTCTGTGAAAAAGGCCTGTGCCCAGCTCTCCCCAATACCCCAACTGGGGTAGCTGGGGGAGGGGGAGCTCCACAAAGCAAGGGGGCTCCTTTCTACCCCTCCTACCCTCTCCCTCCCCCCAGCTCTGGCCATTCAAAAGCAGCCAGAAGCTCCATGCTGCCATGAGCATTAGCCCAGCCCTGCCGCCGAGTGAAAAATTAACCCTGGAGGAAACACAAGTTCCCTAAGGTGGCCTGCTTTAGAGCACATTAATTTAATACTTCATTTGATCAGGGTTAATTTTTCATGTGCTCGGCCATTTAAAAAATGCTCTGCAGCCATGCACGTGTGTTAAGTCACAGTTGCAGAAAGCTTTCAGGGGCCCGATCACACAAAAAATGTCACTTGTATAATCACCCCAAGTTAGATTAGGTGGCCATTTTTAACACAATTTAACTCCTTCCTATTCTCCCCAAATTCTGTACCTAGTGATAGGGTTTTAGGGGCCTGAGTAGTTAATAACTCTGTTTGCTTATTTAATGGTCTGTGTTGGCTTATTTTTTATGTTCTATGTATTGAGGGTGTCAGCTCTGTTTGTTGTTTGTTTTGCTGGAGGTCTTTTAATCTTGGGGGTCGTGCGGATGCTTCAAAGCTTGTATAAAATCTCTCCCAACCATGTACTTAGTCCAGTAATATATATCACATTCCCCACTCCCAAATATCTTTGCCCCTCTGAAAATGTAAGGGGACATGGTGGGGTGGAAGGAGTGGAGAGGTAAGAACACAAGTTTTTGAAAGAAAGAGGAGATGTTATAAAGAAATAATGACTAGTTACTGGAAGAAGGCAGGGCAGGGAGCACCTTAGAGACTAACTCGTTCAGCAACGCATAATGCTTTCATAGGCAAAGTAGGCCATTGCCAGCAAAAGTTTATGTCTCTCTGAACAAGTTAGTCTTTAAGGCTAGGGACAAAAGACATTGCACACAAACCAGCTTAAGTGATCAGAAACTGGTTTAAACATGGGACAGAACAGACGTTCAGTGCACATAAAGCAGTTTGAAAATGGCTGAAACCGGTTTAAGATAAACCTGGTTGAATGTAGTATCAGACTTAATTGATTTGACTCAAACCAGTTTATGCAATTTTTGTCCCAGGCCCCTTGCTGGTTTAAGATAAACCAGACTCTCCTAGCATCCTGGCATGCTCTCTAGGGTGGGTGAGGCTCTGTGCTGTACAGCTGGGCGAGCCCCTCTCCTCTACTCCCTGGCTGGAGCTTGGCAGAGACTGCAGGTACATCTGAGTCT